GGCTAACACGGGCCAGATACACAAGGTTTAAATTTATGTGGGCCACAGAAAAGCAATAGCATCCATTTTCATAGAATCGTAGGTTTATTTTGATGGAGACATGCTGAATACAAAGGGCTGAAATAAATGAGTCATCGTGAACATTAACTTACCAGACACTGAACAACTGCACAATAAGTGTAATTCTTATTCTCCGAAAGCGAAATATTTCCTGTTGTGCACACCAAACAAGTCAATACAAGACTAATGACGTGGCAATCGGCTGCTAAAATACTCGCTGCTAGTATTAGTGGAGAGAAATGGTGCACCTGGCTTGCAAGGGGCATAAGGGAAATGAATGCAACACTACTATAGTAATCAGTCATTAGCAAACATTGCAGTTTGTTATTAATAATTATGTATAGCAGGATATTGTAAAAATTAAATTATGAAATTTTTATTAAAATGTTTCTTATATACCATTATATTGGCTGGACCACAAACATATTTGTTGTAGGCTGCATGCTTCCTGCGGGCTACGAGTTGACATGCTTGCTTTACAGTGTCTCATTATTATGAGTTATGAAGAAGTCCACGGACCATGCTCAGAGTGACCCTGAGACGTCCCTTCAATGTCCCCTTTGCTTTGGGGAACGGAAGTACTCACAAAACGAGGTGCAGGAGACACTCTTGCTTATGAGAGGAAAGTTACCCGTTACTGAGCCTGTCGTATAATAAAAAATTCCTCTGGTCTTTTGTGCCAGGTTCTTGACAAGGAGCTTGCAAAACCCTTAGTATTTCCTGAGAGACAGGAGTGACTTTATTATGCTAATGAGGTGGCTCCCAGAGGGCACTTAGATGGTTTCAGGATGGGGCAGGTCACACAAAGCCAGACACAGGATCGGAGGCAGGAACCCTGGGCCAGCCCCACCTCTGGGGATGGAGGCTGGAGACCGAACTCAATCACAAGGCTACTGATTTAATCAACTGTGCCTACGTAGGGAAACCCCAATAAAGCCTCTTAACACCAGTGGAACTTCCGGGAGCTGGGAGGGCGACGCCTTCCGATTCCATGAGGAAAAGGCCTGGGAGCCTGGGTTCTCCCCCAGACCTCGCCCCGTGTGTCTTTCATGTGTGTTTTACTAGAAGAATAAATAAGTAGAGTGCTATCCTGAGTTCTGTGAGCCCTTGTAATGTCTGATCAAAGCGCAGAGGGTGTGGGAAACATCAAATTAATAGTAAATTTGTCAAGAAATACAGGTGGCCTGGGTCCCCCCCCCCCCCCCCAGTGTGGCTGGTCTGAAGTAAGGGCAGCCTTGTGGGGGACCAAACCCTCTAACTAGTGGGGCCTGCGCTAACTCTGGGTATTTTAGCAGCCGAATGTCACGTCATTGGTCTTGTACTGCAGTTCATAGGCCCAGTTGGATTTCCACAGGCACACGGGGCGTATGGGTACCAGGCACTCACCGGGAAGCTGTACCTACTGTCATCAGAGGGGCACAGGGCCCTGCCTGCCACCTCCTAGAGTTGAGAAAAAGGTGCTCACAAATGTTGAGAATTCAAAATAAATACCTCAGCCTTCAGTTCTGCATCTGAACAAATCCACACCTCCCGGTGAGGCTGGAAATGATTTCAAGCTCCGTTCTTTCAAGTCATGATTCCTACTCACACCTCCCTACAAGTGGCCACAGTGAGCCTGTCGCTTCAAAGCAACACCCTGACCTCAAAATGGAGCTGAAAACTCTGTGTGAACTGCCCTGCTTTTAGGCAACAAGAACCAGTTTATGGGCATAGGCCCGAGGTGCAGGCACTGAAGCCAAAGGCTCAGACCCGTGGACACATTCCCGGCCTCACGGCTTGGCAGAGCAGCCATGTCCATCGCCCAGGTGCCAAAGCCAGCCGCACGCTGCTGCCAGGGCAGGGGCTGCCTCTGAGGCTTCTTTCCGCCTTGTAAATGGGTGTCTTAATTTTATTTTGCAGTAATCATTAGAAAGCTTTTAGAAAGACTTCCCCCAGTGCAACAGAGATAATCTCGACTTGTGCCTCTAACACAGTGCGTACAGGATCATTTCAGAACAAGGTTTCCTCGTCTGACAGCAAAAGTAGCCCCTGCAAAGTCCAATACGGCCAAACGCAGACCCAGAGTCCAACCCTATGAATGACATGGGACGTTTCAGTCCCGATATCTTACACTCAAATGAGCTTCTAGTGATGGGCTAGGCTGTGACTTCAGAGAGGCACAAACAGGACAGGCCTTGAGGGGCCTTTACGGAGTGTGCTCAACCCCCAAAGGCAAGACATCTATCTGTGGGAAGGTTAACATTTTGGTTCTTTACTCTTCCTGTTTCTTAATCCGCTTGTGAAAATCCGCTGACTGAGAGAGAAAGAGAGAGAGAGAGAGACCAAGACCCCAGCTCTTGAGAGGGCAGGGCGGGGTGAGGGGGCAGGCGGGGCGAGAGGGCAGGTTGGGGCGGGTCCAGCTCCAGGTAACTGGGCCCTAGGCCTAACCCAACCAATCAGGTCAGCCAATCTCTCAACTATCTCAGACCCTTTTCCAAGAAGCCTCCCCGGGCTGTGCTGGACGGGGCAGCGAAGTGGCCTTCCAGCTTCAACCTCTCTTTCCAGACAAGGGTTTAGGGGGGAAGAGAGGGTGTTTGCCCAAGTAACCTGACATTGGGGTGAGAGGTGCCCTGTGTACATGAAGGCCCCAAAGGTCCTTTCCTTCTTCTCACGGAGGATAAATGAATCTTATGTGGAATCTAAACAAAGCTGTGAATTTTCAAGATGCAGAATCAGAACTGCCTCAAAATCAGAATCATTCATTATCTTATCCATCAAGTTACTCTCACTTTAAGGCTTCCAAAAATATCAATAATTTACTGAGAAAGTAATTTGCAAAAGGAGCATGTCTGTGTGTGAAGTGAAGAAAATAATTTAGAGTGACAAAAGTTGTTTTCTTATTTATTCACACTTTTAAACTAGGATAATACAAAAGAGCAAATCATTCGTATTTTATAATATATCTTATGTTATGCTTTGAAAATATACTGAGATGTTTGGAAAAATCCAAACATCAGTCACGTTGTGAGAAAAGTTCCCCAGAGAACCTGGCAGCGAAAGAGCGTCGGGTAATCTGTCTCTGGCCAGGCAAAATGCACAGAACCCGAGTGCCTGTCTTGAATTTTAGTTATCTCTATTTGGATGCAAATCCTGGGGGAAATTAACGCAAAGCTTTCAATGGGTTTCTTGGATTTTTAATCATCTACGTAAAGTTCATACAACAAAATCCAAGAAGACCCATCCGAGTTGCCCTGACCTTGAAGTCACTTTGCAGGGTGATGGGCAGAGATCCTGTGTGTAAGGAAACGTGCCTGGGAAGTTTGAGTTGAAGCAAGGCTCTGAGGAAGGCAAGCACCAACATCTATCCTCACTCAGAATCCAGGGCCCCAACGTGGGAAGCCAGGAAGAGACAGAACGCATCAGAGGAGACCTCAGTGGCCATCCATGCCACTGCTTCCTTTTACACGCGAGGAAAGTAAGTCCCAGGAAGCAACAGGATATGTCTAATGACCGCCCCGTTTTCTGTCCAAGGTTACATACATGTCCGATCATCAAGAAACCAGATTCTCCCAGGACACATTACGGTCAGCCTTACATTTTCAGAGCCACAAACTTAGACTTGATTGAGGAAAAGTCCTCTTCTGAGAACCCCCAGGACCTTCCAAGCATGGCTGACCTACCTCTCTGTCTGCCTTCAGGGAAATGCTTTGGTTGAGATGCCAGCTCGGCTCTTTGGCTACAAGAAACTGAAGACCAAAGCATAAGGCTGGTTAGAAGAAGGACAAGGAAGTCAGGAAGGAGAGAGTGGCGCCTGGGAGAGGGTAAGAGACTTAGACTGTCCTTGGAGTTAGACACAATGACACAGAGTCTCCAAAAACTGGCACACAGGAAATGTTGGTTAAACACGGAGTAAATATACCAGTTCGTCTTCCCCATGATGCAGTGCGACGGAGCCGCCACACTGCCATCCACAAGAGCATCCAACAGCTCATGCTCCTGGTATTCTTCATAACCTTGCTTCCTCCAATCGCTGGTATTGTCAGAATAAAAGTGATGAATCCCGTTTAGAACACAGCCGTCACCCCATCAGAATTCTGAGCATAGAGATTCTGACGGCAGGAGGGAAATACACACAAAAGATTGGCCACGCACAGGCTGACAGACAGAGCAGTTTTTCAGAGCTGAAGATTGATGACATCAATTTTGAAGCTTTTCTGCCTTTGTCTTCGAGGTTATAAATGTTGGTTATTTTTTTGCCTCTAAGCCTCGTGTTTCAAACTGCATCGTGCCACAGTTATCACAGGCATCATTTTATACAACCCACAAAAAATGAGTCACTTTATGATAAAGTAGCATTTTAAAATCTGTGGTTTGCTACAGGGTCTTATTTATTTCAATTGTTTGGTTAGATAAAAAAAAAAAACCAACTTTGATATATTCAAAATGAATAAATGCTTGAAAAATGAATAACCCTAAATTTATATATTAGTTATTAAATGCATCAAGAAGTACAAAATCTATCAATAAGCATTAAACTGATTAGCTTGTCAAACTCATATCACTATTAAATATATCCATAAGTGTGTGAGTTATTGTAACAAGCTGGACCCCTGGACAGAGGTACCAAAAGGTGAGCCAGGGCCAGTTCTCACCACTGACTCCCAAAGCCGAACTCTGCAGCTGGCACATAAACATTGTTTGGATAAAAGGGGGGGCCCCCCCGCAGACAAGTGCCAAAATAAAACAGAACGAGCATTTTCTAATCACCCCCCAAATAAATTTCCATTTGAATGAACCATAGAGCCTGTTTTGAAGGTTTAAATAACTAGTCTGCTGCATATGTTAAAATCGGAGTTTTCACCCAAGTGGTCTTTTAAAGCTTCCTTCGCCTGATGCCCTGTGACACGGGGAACATCCGTGAGAACAATCGAGCAGACGCAAATGTCACCCACACTCCTCACCTGCCATGTCGATGGCAAAAGGCCTGTCTGCTCTCCAGCCGGTGTACCACCCGACGACCTTGCCATTTTCCACCAACGGACGTTCATAGCGTCGCCCGCCAACCAGGCCCACTGGCCAGACAGAGACCTTGCGGGTGGTTCGCATCTATAAAAAGGGGAAAGAGAGTTGGTTTAAGTTTCTTTAGGGAAAAGAACTTGGAGGGAGGGAAAGAAGGTGAGCCTAGCAGGAGAAATGCGAAGGGGTGGGAGGATGTGGAGTCCCAGAAGTTGAAGGCTTCCAGACAGAACCCTTCTGCTAACAGATTGCTACCCAATTACTGTTTGCCTGCTCAGCACCAGCGGCTGTTGCGCGGTCATAAACTAAGCCTCTGGCTCAGGCGGGATGGAGAGGACTAACGTGGATATCCCTACCTGAACATCACTTATTGGAAGCCACACTGTGACTATCAAATATTTCCCATTTGCTCCTAAGTTGGATCTCTTAAACAAGTGCGTCTTTGGAAGTGAGGAGCTTTAGTTCCTCTTTAGGAAACGTTATTACTCAGTTAACAGCAAACATTTGACTCAGAGGAGCCATAGGAGTTGCCTTTCTCTGAAATTTTTATTGCTACAGACACAGAAATCTTGGCTGGCGACATTAATAATGGGAACCAGATACAGAACAGACACCAGGCATCCTCCTGGGAGACAAAAGAAAAACATACGTAAATTTGCCTGTCTTTCAACAGCACTGGGGCCAAATTATACAAGAAAAGGCAGCTGAAGTAGCTGGTCCTCTCCCAATACACCTTTGTACCTAGCGGAGTTCTGGTTAAAGACAACTCTCAATGGAAATTCTTTTGTTGGGAATTCTTTAAGGGGAGAGACACACAAGAAAGCTTGATAATACTAGGCAGCATTTTTTTTTTTTTTTTTTGAAAAACACTACTATTTTCCTGGACAGGAGTTGAGCAGAGCCAGAGTCAGCCCACCTGGCACCTTAGGTAAATTAGAAAAAGGTGCCACTTGGGTAGACACACTCCACACTGGGCCCATGGCTATGGGCCCAGCCATCAAAGTATCTGCTGGGTTCCACTCTTACCTGGGTGAGGTAGCGTTATATTTTAAGATAACTATAATCTCAACACCAACACTTTACCTTTCATTTGCTATAGAACTGGGTCATGATCAGTAATCAATGGCTAAAGTAATGATTATCAATCAAGGATTTTTTTTTATAAAAGAAAGAAAAATTATATATTTGGGAATGATTTTCAAATGCAATTCAAATTAAAAGTCAAATTATTAAAGATTAAAAATAATTAGATGCTCCCATTTGCCAAACATCTCAACTTGACTCATTTATTAATATCCCACCGCATTCCAACGAGAGGACTTACGGGCACGAAGTGCACCAAGTAATGTGGATCTCACTATGTTGGTCTTCTCCAAACCTGAAATTACTCCTTTTTAGGTCTCACCCCTTTCCAAAAAACTAATCACTGTTGCCTGTACTAGCTCATACTGACACATATGATGATTTTTTAAAAAGTTCTATTGAGGCATAATAATGGATACACTAACTCAGTGGTTGGCAAATTCATTAGTCAACAGAGCCAAATATCAACAGTACAACGATTGAAATTTCTTTTGAGAGTCAAATTTTTTAAACTTAAACTTCTAACACTACTTCTTCAAAATAGACTCATCCAGGCCATGGTATTTTGTGGAAGAGCACACTCAAGGGGTCAAAGAGCCGCATGTGGCTCGTGAGCCGCAGTTTGCCAACCACGGCACTAACTGAAATAAAGAATATACTACAAGGTATCAACAGCAGATGAAACCAAGAATCAAATCAGTGATTTGGAAGATAAGGAAGCAAAAAACACTCAATTAGATGAGCAAAAGGAAAAAAGAATCCAGAAGAGACTCTGGGACAACTTCAAGCATACCAACATATGTAACATGGGGGTGCTGGAAGGGGAAGAGAAAGCAAGAAATTGAAAATCGATTTGAACAAGTAATGACAGAAAATTCCCTAATCTGGTGAAGGAAATAGACATAGTCCAGGAAATGCAGAGAGTCCCAAACAAGATGGACCCAAAGAGGCCCACACCAAAACACATCATAATTAAAATATGATAATTAAAAAGGTTAAAGAGAAAGAAAATCTTAAAAGCAGAAAGAGAAAAGCAGTTACCTACAAGGGAACTCCCATAAGACTGTCAGCTGGTTTCTCAACTGAAACTGTGCAGGCTAAAACAGAGTGGTAAGAAATATTCAAAATGATAAAAAGCAAGGACCTACAACCAATATTACTCCACCCACCAAAGTTATAATTTAGATCAGCAGTCACCAACTAGTAGTCCACTGGAGGTCTGTGAGGTTCAAAAGGTTGGCGACTACTGATTTAAATGAAACTCAGATAAAGAGCTTCACAGAGAAGAAAAAGCTAAAAGAGTTCATCACCACCAAACCAGTATTACATGAAATGTTCAAAGATTTTCTTTAAGAAAAAGGGAAAAAAACAAAACACACAGATAAAAATATGAGCAATAAACTGACAATAAGTACTTATCAATAACTGAATCTAAAAACATCCCCCCCAAAAATGAATAAGCAGAACAGAAACAGATTCATAGTTATAGAGAACATTTTGATGGTTTCCCGATGGGAAGGGAGATGAGTGAAAAAAGATGAAGGTTTTAAGAAGTACAAATTGGTTGTTACAGAATTGTCATGGAGATATGAAGAATAGCATAGGGAATATAGTCAATAATATTCTAATAACTATGTATGCTATCAGATGCATGTAAGATTTCTTGGGATGATCACTTAGTAAATTATATAATGTCTAATCACTGGAGGGGTATACCTGAAACTAATATTGTATGTCACTATAACAGAAAAACAACAAAAGATCTACCCAAGTATAATTGACTGCAGAAAAGCATGAACAGTCCTGACACTGTACTCCTTAGAAAGGCTTGCACACAAGGCTGACCCTCAGCTGGCATCTGAAAACCTGGCTAAGGTTGTTTGCTTGCCTGGGGTACCACACACTTGCTTTCCTTTGGGGATCTGAAATATTGGTGACCAGACTCCAATAAAAACTCTGACCCTGGCATGGGTTTGCCGGGGCATGAACACTATGTACGTGGTTACGTCTTTGCTGGAGGGAAGGCATGCTCCCTGCAATCCTTCATGGGAGGGAGTGTATATGGAAGCCGCACCTGGAGTCCTCCGGGCCCTTCTGATGCCCCCCCCCCCCTCTTCCAGCTATGCACCCTTACTGTGTCACTGTAATAAGTCTTAGCCACAAGTCCTCAAATAATGTCATTTTGTTCAACTTGGCTTGATTATAACTTTGATGAGATTCTGTAGGAACTTGTCTCTTATTTATATTAACTACCCTATGGTAAAAATGGTTTTGTTATACATAATTTTGCTGAGTCACAGAACCTATCAATGATGTTAAGTGAGAACTTACTGTACAACCAACTATATGCTGAGAGCTATGAGTCCTAGTCAGTCATTTAATATGGGTGGTCTTGGGGGCCCCTGGAAGAATAAAATGCACTTTTTAAAAGGTAAAATTTAATACACTGGGACACATATATGTAGCTATGAAACCATCATCATAAGGAAGATAAGCATCTCCATATCTCCTGTTTTTTTGTGCTCTTATTTTAATCCATTCCATTCTTTAAAAAAAAAATTTTTTTTTTTTATTTCAGAGAGAAAGTGAGAGGGAGAGAGAGACAGAAACAGTAATGATGAGAGTCATGATCAGCTGCCTCCTTGCACGCCTCAAACTGGGGATTGAGCCTGCAACCTTGGCATGTACCTGTCTGGGAATCAAACCATGGGTTGATGCTCAACCTCTGAGCAACACCTTCTGGGGCTAATCTCTATAACTATACATTAGTTTGCATTTCATAGAATTTTATATGAATGGAATCATGCAGTGTATATTTTTTAAAGATTATAACTATATTGCTATTCATCCATGCTGTAATGTTTATTCATAGTTCATTCCTTTATTTTGCCAAATTATATTCTATTGTATGGATGTGCCACAGTTTGTTTTTTGTTTTTGATTTTTTAAATCCATTTGCTTATTGAAGGACACTTCAGTTGTATTAAGCTTTTGGCTATTATAGATGAAGTTGCTATAATACTGTGGATTTCATTTTTCTTCCTGATACACACCTAAGAGTAGAATGGCTGGATTACATGGTAGCTATACATTTAACTTTTTAATAAACTGTCAACTTATTTCCAAATGGTTGTACCATTTGACATTCCCACCAGCACTGTATTGAGACTTCCAGTTACTCCACATCCTTACCAACTCTTGGTGTGGTCAGTATTAATTTTAGCCATTGTAGTACATTTTAGTAGTAGCTCACTGTGGTTTTAATTTGTATTTTTCTAAAGATTAATGGTGTTTAGTGTCTTTTCATGTGCTTATATGCCATCTGCATCACTTCTTTAATAAAATATTTCTTTAGCCAAAACCGGTTTGCTTAGTGGATAGAGCGTCGGCCTGTGGACTGAAAGGACCCAGGTTTGATTCCGGTCAAGGGCATGTACCTTGGTTGCGGGCACATTCCCAGTAAGGGATGTGCAGGAGGCAGCTAATCGATGTTTCTCACTCATCGATTTCTATCTCTCTATCCCTCTCTCTTCCTCTCTGAAAAATCAATAAAATATATTTAAAATATATATTTGTTTAAATATTTTGCCTATTTAAAAAATTATTTATTTCCTTACTGTGGAGTTTTGAGAGTTTAAAAAAAATATATTCTGCATACCTGCACACAAATCCTCTCCAGATACATGATTATAAGTTTTTTCTCCCAGTCTGTGGCTTATCCTTTCAGTCTAATAGTGTCTTTTGAAGAACAGCAGCTTTTAATGTTGATGAACACCAATACATCAATTTGTTCTTTCATGGATCATGCTTTTGGTGTGATAGCTAAAATATCTTTGCCTAACCCAAGTCACAGGGGTTTTCTACTCCTTTCTAGAAATATTATAGTCTTAGGTTTTACATTTAGATTATGATTTGTTTTTATAAAATATTTGTATTGGTTTCAGAGAGGAAGGGAGAGGAAGAGAGATAGAAACATCAATGATTAGAGAGAATCATCCATAGGCTGC